TTTCTGACTCCAGCAAGAATGCTACCCAAAACTATTTGAGGGCAACATGCTGTTGAAAGGATCATGTGTTGCTGGATTGCTTTTGGAAGGGATGAATATTTTTTATTATTATAAAAGGGTAACTCATCCAGAATCATTCAGTTTTATCTTTAGATTGCAAGTAATTAAGCTAATTCATGACTGATGAAATTAGACATCTAATTTTTGAGTTATTCCTGTTTCATTTAACTGGAAAACAGAGTACTCACTAACCTGAGGGGACTGACGTACATTGGTTTTAACAGCTCATCTAAACGATTGTGCCACTGGAGGTGCAGCGCTGTTGGTTGGTGTCTGTGCTCGTGTGTAGTATGCAAGAAAAATATCCCTCCTCCTTGCTCAATGCAGTTAGAGAAATGCCATTTTGGTTAGAAAAACCATTTGTACAAGAATCCATTTTGGAATGCTGTTACCATTTCCTTTGATTCTCAGTTTTCTTTGGCACTTTTACCAGGGTAATATAATTTTCTTGCCCATGATTTGCTAACTTTTCTTGCCCAAGGTGGAAATATGCAATTGCAGGAATTCTGCAAGTTCATGTCCGAAGAAAATACCGCATGTGGTCCTGGGACAACATTAAAAGTCACAGACAAAATCTGAAGGCTTACAAAGTGGCTTATAAAAGCAAACTGACACAGACTAAGCTTTCTGAAGAAGCACTGAAACAACTTCAGGTAAAGCTAATTTTTAAAACGATTTGAACATTGTCAGGAGGATGATGGCTGATTTGGTATTAACTCTTATTTTTTTGCCTGCACACCCGTCATTGTAGACTCTGTTGTGGATCAAAAATCTGTGCAACGAAGCCTCTATCCATTTTTACGATGAGCAAGCCAGAAATCTATAACTGTTAACAAGTATGAAAGGGTTCTAAGAATTGCTAGGTAGAAACATTCAGTTATACACAGCAATAGGGTAGAAGCTTATTGCAAGGTTTTCACTGGATCCCTCGGGACCATGTGGGGTCACTAAAGAGTCCAAAGGTTACAGTAAGTTGGAGAAAGGAACTGACAGAAGTAGACTCCAAGTTAGGAATGCTTCAGTCAGCTGTACTGCTGGGAAGGCAGTCAGGCGTAATTGAATTTCTCTGTGGCGTTAGAACTCGAGGAGAAGTCCTGGGAATTAGTGGACAGCTAAATGTTGGAGCCAGGACTTGAGTAGTCCGAAGGAGCTGAGAAAGTGGGAAGGTTGCTGGCTCTGTTGGGGGAAGCAGTGAGGAGCTTAGAAGAAGCCTGCAAGCATCTGGTGCAGCTGAGACTTTGGTGATTGAAAAACTCATAAACAATATTTGCTTGATACAACTGAACTAGGTTGGAGCTCAGAAATAAACCCAGGAGTGGCTGTAGTTTGAGAAAGCTAGATGTTGGTAGAAAGCTACAGTTGTGCTTGTGAGCAAGTACAGGAGGGTGGTTTTTCAAAGTCTGGAGGGTGTGGACTGTGGAAAGGAGGGCGATTGACCTGAACCAGAGCAGTTGCTGAGGCAGTGCATGATGGAATAGCTCTTGAGTAAGTTTTTCGAGGCCAGATTGGCAAAAATGAAGAATTGTTATCCCTTGTGAAATTTGGTGACATTTGATGGCCTATCATGCCATTTTAATGAGTGGTGAGAATTGCTGAGAAATCTATGGGATTGGGTTTGATCTCATTTGCTATGTGTGCTTTAGGATGTTTGACCACAATCCATTATTGCTTTGCCACATGTTAAATCTGGGTGTTAGAAGTAAGTTGTACAGTAGTTTAGTAGATTACAGCACTACAAACTAATACAGAGTAAAGTTAATATTTGTTCAAAACTATGAAATCTTGTGGCTTTATTCTCTCAATAATTCCTTGGATCTCACTGTTTGATCACTCTTTTTAAAAAAAGAAAAAAAAGTTACTGGCCCCTAGTCAGATTGTAGCATTAATTTGGCAGTTGGGATCATGACATCTATCAGTCCCTAGTGCCCTGTGTGAAAGAGAAATGAAAAAAATAAGGAAAATAAACTTCACTTCCTTAGCCCACCAAATTCCTGGGATTCATAAGAGATTATTTTCAAGATCAGTAGCGTTGAGAAACCAAATAGAGAACACAATTCTTAGATCTAGTATCATGCAGTGGTAAGGGTCTGGTTGTTAATATTATTGTAAAGAAACCTTTAAGAAAGAGTGACCACAATATGCTAGAATTTTACATTTGGTTTGAACATGATGTGGTTCAATCTAACATTCAGGTCTTGAATCTAAAGGAAACTGTGTGAAGGTAAAAAAAAAAAAAACCCAAAAGAACTGTGAATGCTGTAAATCAGAAACAAAAACAGAAGTTGCTGGAAAAGCTCAGCAGATCTGGTAGCATGTGAAGAGAAATCTGTTAATGTTTCGGGTCTGGTGACCCTCAATGGTGCTGAGGAAGGGCCACCAGACCCGAAACATTAACTCTGATTTCTGTTCACAGATGCTGCCAGACCTGCTGAGCTTTTCCAGCAATTTCTGAAGGCAAAAGAGGCAGGTTGGCTGTGGGAGGTTGGAAAACTACATTAAAATGTATGAGATAATGGCTATCAATTCAAAAATTATCAAATTGGGATTGCAACGACAATACAAAGGCCTGATAGGGAAAGTGATTACACTTTGGCAAATAAGAAATAAAAAATATTGTGATAGATCACAGACTTGTCAAGTTGCCACAGGACTTGCCATAAAGTTGTAAACATGAGGATTGGGAGCATTTTAGAATTCAGCATACAAAGGGTGAGAAACTAAAAGAAATGGACCATACGTTTTGCAAGTGTTTTTTTTTTTTTCTTTTTTCATTCTGGGGATGAACGGCATTGCTGGCTGGGCCAGCATTTATTACCCATCCCTAATTGCCCAGAGGACAGTTAAGAGTCAACCATATTGCTGTGGGTCTGGAGTCACAAGTAGGCCAGACCAGATAAGGATGGCAGTTTCCTTCCCTAAAGGACGTTAATGAACCAGACGGGTTTTTCTGACAATTAGCAGTGCATTCACAGTCATTGTTAGATTCTTAATTCCAGATATTTATTGAATTCAAATTCCACCATCTACCATGGCGGGATTTGAACCAGGTTCCCGAGAATGTTATCTGGGTCTCCGGGTTAACAGTCAGCGATAACACCACTCGGCCATCGCCTCTCCTTGTAAACCAGCAAGAAGCATGAATCCCCTGAACGTGATGCTTTACTTCCCCAGGCTTTGAAAGGGTTGACTGCAAGGGTAGTGGATGCATTGATGGCTATCTTCTAAAAGTGTATAGATTCTGGAATTGTTCCTGTAGATTGGAAGGCGATGTTTCCAATTTATAAGAAAAAGAGAGTGTAAACTGAGAATGACAGTCCTGTTAGCTGACATCAGGGGCAGAGAAGGTGTTGGAAACTAATGTAAAGGGTGTGATAACTGGACACTAGTAAATAATGGTAGAACTGTTAGAGCTTTTGTACATGCAGGTAAATAAGCAGGAAGCGGTGAATGTGGTATATTTGGATTTTCAGAAGGCTTTTGATGAAGATCCATGTAGGTTAGTAAATAGAATGAGAGAACCTTTCTCTTTGTTTACTCTGTTAAGCTCTTTGATAATCTTAAGATTTCAATCACTCACCTGAGAGAATTGAGAAAAAGAGTCATTTTGATGGTTCAATTTTTATTGTTAGTTATAATCTTAAGTTCTGGTATTAACTATCAAACCTTGCTGGTATCTTCCTCAATGGTACTATATACTTTTTATAATATTGAGACCAGAACACGTCATAGTTGTTGTAACTTAGGCATATGCAATACCTAATTTGTATATGCACAATCTCCAAGACAATATTAAGTAAAATGCCAACATATTCTGTTTGTTTGTGGTGGTGTTTGAGGGATGAATGTGAGGTACTGCATGAGGAGGACTCCCCAGTTCTTCAGAAGTTCCTTCACATTCAGCAAGAACTTATCATTATATCTTAAAATGGTCTGTTGCTTTAACTTGCATTTCTTATTGTGTATTTATCAAATTATCTTGTATTCTTCTCAGAACCTGGAAAAATCACTGGATATTTTCAACATCACATTAGCAAGACAACAGGCACATGTGGAGGTAACTGTGATTGTAAAGTTTTGAGTGATTATTCTAGACTTTAATGTCCTACTCACAATTTTTTCTTTTGTTCCCAGGTGATTAGATCAGGACATAAGATGCTGGGGAAGAAGGGATCAGAGAAGCAGAGTGGGGGCTGGTTCCGTGGATTCTGGGGAAGAAAAGAATCCAAGAAAAAGGGTGAAGAGGAAGATAAATCAGTCCCAGAAAGTTAGTGAAAAATCCATTAGAAACGTTTATAAAAGTGATATACCGTATATACTAATAATTGACAAAAGTACAGAACATGCAGGAAATACTCAGCCATGCTTGCACCGTTTGTAGAGAGAAAAATAGGTCGTACCAGGACCCTGATGAATAGTAGTCATCTCAAAACAATAACTCTTATTCTCCCTCATGAAGTTCTGTATGGAGTGTTTGTTTTGTCGTCGCTGTGAGGTTATGCAAGCACACCACTGAAACCAGCTGACCCAATCATTTTGCAGCCTTCCAAGCAGTCCATTATAGAGCCAAGCAACTTGTCAGACTTGGACTGCTGTAGGGTAAAGAAATCCACTTCCATCCTCCTTTTTCACTTTTGACTTCTCAGTGCAGGTACATTTCAAAATTTGTCTTGTACATGATGAGGGGCATTGTTAAGGATCAGCTGCTCTTTGTGTCAGGTACTGGATTAGGCTGTGGATCTGGAAAGACATGCTGATCTTATTTTTATTATTAAACCCTTCACTAAAGTAACTAACACCCATTTGCTTGTTTGAAATCCAAACTAGCATTAATTTAAAATTTTTATATAAAAATCCCTCATTTTATCACATAAAAGGAAAGTTGGTGTTTATTTGCAAAAGTAGCTGCTCTATGAATGCTTAAGAATCTGAGGACTTGATTGACACTGACACTGTATAACATGCTAAATGTGTATTACTTATCAATGTTTCTCTGTTACAGAATTTTAGTTTGGAGTCTCAGATGTTTTCAGTATTCTTCATATGCCTCAGAATTTGCTCATATTTCTTTATGGTTGGATTTAACCAGGTATTAATGACCTCATGACTGCTGAAGAAAAGACCAAATTGTACACTGCTATTGGATATAGTGAGAGCTCCCACAACTTGACCTTGCCCAAAGAGGTGCCTAATTTTCTTAATCATTGTAACAAAATAGTATGTTGGTAAATTCTGAATAACAGCTGATTAGCTATCCCACCTTGTCAGAATAGAAACGATACTTGAAGGGTTTCTCTGGTCTGTGATTTCTGAGATCTCGATAGCATAGACTGGTTTGTGAAATTGTGACTTAATCTTAATTGGTCAATGAAATGTTGTATTGATCCCAACTATTTGTAACAAAATTCAGCATTTTTTTCAGTCAATTTTTTTTAAACAAACTCTCTTGTTCACCACATACCTTCCTCCCTCAACTATGGAATCATTGATATCCTAAAGTCTTAAACGGGCAAACCCCCCCACCCCATTCCACTTTGTAAACCCTTTGTGACTAACCACTCCCGTTTCAATCTAATATTGGTTTTCTCGGTCCAGTGATTAACTACAAACTGATTTAGTTCAATTGTGGTCTCTCCCCGAGCCCTGCCACTGATTTCTCGGTATTTGACCTTTCAACACCAAGCACTCCTTCCCCCTTTCTGCTTGACGTCTGTCCCCTGCTTAGACTACCTAGTGCTCAGCTTAACTTATCTTCCTTCCCATGTCCCTCAGTCATCCCTTTTATATTTTGGAATTTTGGGGAATACAAATGTACTTCATATAATCTCTCCTCTGACATAACCTTTGGTTTCCAAGTTTCATTTCAGCAAACTTATTCAGCATTGCATCAGAGACCAAGAGATGATTTGGTGCCCAGTATTGCTGTAGGTACTTCAGGTGTGAGGTTAATTAGGGCTTTGTGTAATTGAAGCATGGCTTTCTGCACTATTGTATTCTCTTCCTTGAGATAGAAAGACAAGCATTCCATCAGCCTTTTTGGTTATCTTTTCTGATTACTCATTTTAATTGTCCATGCACCTGATTGATTTATTGTTGTAACATATACTGAGATACAGTAAGAAGTGTTGTTTTGCGTGCTATGCAGGCAGATCGTATTATATAAAGTGCGTCACGATAACAGAAGAGTGCAAAATACTGTTACAGCCACAAAGAAGGTGCAGAGCGGGACAAATCAGAATTAACATTTGAGAGGTCTGTTCAAAAGTCTGAAAACAGTGAGGAAGAAGCTGTTCTTGAATTTGTTCATATGTATATTCAAACTTTTATATCTTCTGCCTGATGGAAGAAAGTATAACCAGAATGGGAGGGATCTTTGATTTAGGCCCTCAAGTCTCTTATGAACTTCTGTTGTTTTCAGTTTTTCAGAATTTAGAAAGTTGTTTTTTCCCTTTTTAATTCCAAAGTGGATGAGATTGCATTTGCAAACATTGAACTCCCTTTGTCAGAGTTTTCATTCATAGTCCACTCACTGAAATTCTTCAGTAAACCAGTGGTGATGGGTCCACTTTTATTTGTCATTTACAGAAATGATTTGGATGAGAATGTAAGAGGCATAGTTAGTAAGTTTGCGGATGACGCCAAAATTGGTGGTATAGTAGGCAGTGAAGAAGGTTAACTAAGATTACAAATTAACTGCGACCGTTTGGGTCAGGTGGGCTGAGGACTGGCAGATGGAGTTTAATTTGGTTAAATGCGAGATATTGCATTTTGGTAAAACAAAGGCAGGATTTATACAATTAATGTTAGGGCCTTGGGTAGTGTTGTTGTAGAACAGAAGGACCGAGAGTTAAGGTACGTAATTCTTTGAAGTTTGTGTCACAGGTAGACAGGGTGTTAAGGTGTTTAGCACACTTGCTTCATTGCTCAGACCTTTGAGTATTGGATTTGCGATATTATGTTGATGTTGTACAGGACATTCGTGAGGCCTCTTCAGGAGTACTATGTGTAGTTCTAGTCGCTGTGTTACAGGAAGGATGTTATTCAACTGGAATAGGTTCAAAAAAGATTTACCAGGATGTTGCCGGGAATGGAGAGTTTGAATTATAAAAATAGGATGGATAGGCTGCGACTTGTTTCCCTGGAATGTAGGAGGTTGAGGGATGATTTTATAGATATTTATAAAATCATGAGGGTATTGATAAGGTGAAAAGCAAACATTGTATTCCTAAGATGGGGAAGTTCAAAACTGGGGACATGTTTTAGGGTGAGAGGAGAAAGATTTTAAAAAGGACAAGGGACAACTTCTTTGCAGAGTGGCTCATATGTGAAATGAGCTTCCAGAGGAAATGGTGGATGCAGGTACAGTTATAACAATTAAATGATATTTATATAAGTACAAATCCATTTTGGTTCACTGAAATTTCAAGGTGGTAATTTATCCTGTCCTTACATGGAGAATCCACCAACTGATTAACAGCAGATGTTATGCTAACTGGCCTATAGTTTTCCTTCTTTACTTTGCCTTTCTTAAATAACTAAATAATGTGCGCAAATTTTTAGTTGAAAGAACAGTTGCCAAATTAAGAGAACTTTGGAAAGTGAAAGTTAGGATAATTTTCTAACCTCCTTCCTTTAACCCCTGGGATGTTCCTGGTGGTTGGTCACACTTCTGTGTCATTATTTATTTGCATTAGTTTTGGTCAGTTTCTGAACCTGATAGAATCTTTGTTTCATTCGCATATCTGGCATGTTGACTTCAACATGTTTGCCACTTCCTCCTTCCACCGACAAGAGTCAGTTTTTAAGAGAATGACTAATCTTGTTTCCAAAATGTAAGTGTTGAACTCTTCACTGTCCTCTGTATACTTCCCAATAGACAGGATCTGTGTTTTTTCATTTGCATTTTTGTGTGCTTTTTGTTTATTGTTGTCTCTGGCACATCTACATTTCTTAAACAAAAAAGCCAGAACTTTTGCCCTATGAAATCCCAATGTTTAAATATTTGTACGGTAAAGCTACAGGAAGAGGCAATAGAAACAAAAGTTTTACCATTTTGAGTGGTATCATCTAGTTGAAATTTGGTCAATATCACGTTCCAACAATAGTGTGCTTCCTGTCATAACATAGAGCTTCTTCACTTTGGTTCGTGGTGAGTCAAAATAGTTTAGGTTGAAGTTGAAAAGATCTCATTACCTGTTATTATTGATATCCTTGCAGTATGTTGCAAATGTGATTAGCTTCAAGTTGGTTGCTACCTCCATCACAATCCGAGAGGAACCCAATGTTCCAGAGATACTGAACGTGCAGATGATTGATCTGAGTACAAGTGTGTTTCAGCGTCCTGGAGCCAAAGGTCTTAAGTAAGGGTTTTATTTCTCATTGCTGTGTGAAGTAAATAAATTGTTGTGTGGTGCTGTGATTTTTTCATTATTAAACATCTATGCCATACAAGTTCCTGTTAAGTGGAGATGCTTTCACTTTGCTTTGGGAGGAGGAACTTTTTGTTTCCTGTTAGGCAAATAACGCCACATTGTGTCTTCTGAGCAGAAAGTTTAAAAGCTCTCCAGTGATTTTAAAGATGAATCATTGCCAATCCTTTTAATCTTCAAAGAGCTGTAATTTGAAATGTTGATGTAATATTACTAGATTCTTTCTTTCTGCAGTATCCTTTTGTTAGTGCACATTTGGAAGGCGCCTTGGCTCAGAAGCAGCATAGCTCTGAAACAGTTGCACATCCTTGGGTTTTATGTGTGTTCTGTTGATCTATTTTATGTTATGACTTGGAACCTTTCTGCTACCACGGGAGTGCCATTACAAATGGGCAAAGAGTTTTGATCCTAAGAGGGCAACTTGATCTAATGCCAGATCAAGTTGATCTTTCCAGTGGGAATCCCTGGAGTTGTTGAGGTTGTTGTAATAGTTACGCTTACAGGTTTCAACCCTTTGAAAAGTAGCGCTCTCCCTGTGAAAGGGATACAAGTCTGAGAGGTATAAATAAATGTCAGTTTTCTTGTGGGCTGGTTTTCTCTTGCAATTAGTCAAAAATTGGCAGCATATTAGTTAGCTACTTACTTGATTGGTACAGCTGGGCTTTGCTGTATTAATTCTGAATGGCAGAGGTAGTTGGCTAAGGCTGGGCTGTCAATTTGACTGCCACTGGAGTACAGATAAATAATGCAGCCGCCGTTGCTTTTGGCAGAACCTCACTGAGCGCACTTCAGCTATGTCTGACCTGCCATATTGGCAGCCAATTAAACTAATCATACTTGTGTCCCCTTTTGCAGGGTAGAGGCTAGACTGGAGCACTGGTATGTTACAGGTTTGAAGCAACAGAATACAGTTCCATCTCTCATGGCTTCTGTTGGAGGAACAGAGTCGTCTTTGCTGAGTGTGTGTTTTGAGATTAATCCAGAGGAAAGCAAAGCAGATCAGCTTCTAAGCGTCCAGTCCCAACCCGTGGAGCTGATTTATGATGCTGTAAGTATTGATTCTAATGCAAGAGGAAGTTATTTTTTCAATTGAAACGAAGATGGGTTCATGTAGCCCCTTTCACATCCAAAGCTTTTAAGTTTTGTTTTTGAAATGTACTGTCAGAAGATGTGACATTTAATTTACGGAGGACATAAATGACCAGTTAATGTTTTTGATTTTGATTTCTAGGGCAGCATGGTGGCTCAGTGGTTAGCACTGTTGCCTCACAGCGTCAGGGACCCAGGTTCGATTCCAGCCTTGGGTGATTGTGTGGTGTTTGCACGCTCTCCCTGTGTCTATGTGGGTTTCTTCCCACAGTCCAAAGACGTACAGGTTAGGTGGATGACGAGGCTAAATTGCCCAAAGTTTTCAGGGATGTGTAGGTTAGGTGCATTAGCCATGACAAATGCATGGTTATAGGGACAGGGTAGGAGGATGGGTCTGGGTGGGATGTGCTTCGCATGGTTGGTGTGGACTTGCTGGCTTGTTTCCACGCTGTGGGATTCTATATTAATGAGGAAAAAACCCCAGGGTTTAAGAAACTAGAAGAACTCTCCTGTTCTAGTTTGGATAATTGGACAACGCAGGTTGGGTTGAACATCTCATTTGAAAGCCTGCACTTTCAGTATATGATATCACATTGTCCAGTGCTGCACTGAAGTGTCAACCGAGACTATGGGCTTGAAACCACAGCTTTCCTAACTTGTTTTAGTTGTGCTATCACAACCTAAGCTTAATGCATTGAGCTTGAGAAGCAAAAATATTTCCTCTGATGGTGCAGACTTCTGTTCTTTGTTCATTTGACATTCTAACTGTTAAGATTTTTGTCTATTTCTCACTTGGAAATAGATCCAAACCATCAATTATCATGTTAGGGTCCTTCTAATCATTCCTTGCATGTTGCATTCAGCATTAAAATACAGCAGCATCCTCCCATGCATATACTGTCATTTCCATTTCCTTTTTTTGGTTTCACTCTTAACCACGTGATTGGCTGGATTTGTGAAAGGCTGGCCGTGTTTGATTAATCTAGTTGAAACTTTTTGAGGAAGTCACTAACATGACAAGTGAGGGAATCTGTTGATTTAATTTACATGGATTTCTAGGAAATACTTGATTAGGTTCTGCATAAAAGATTATAAAAGCATAACGAATCAGAGACCGTCTTTCAGTTATGCGTTGTTAATAGGTGGTGTGGGCGTGGGAGGTTAAGTGTAGAGATTAAGGGTATTTAATGAGACTACCAATGTTGCTTAATGAAGTATATGAGGACATCAGATTGTTAATATGTATGTCAATGACACGGCTCACGGCAAGTTGTACATCCAAGTTTACAGAATTGGGAGATAGTTAAGCTGTGTAAATGGAAGCAGGAAATTACCATGTAACATTGATAGTTTGAACTACTTTTGTCCACTTCATGTAGAGAAGTATGAAGTATGGATCCAAAAAAAAATTATTTGGAATATATCCTAAATGGTGAGAGATTGGGAACAGTGTTGGATCTGAGGGATTTTAGTGTCCAGGTTTGTAAATTACTGAAAGCTAGCACACTGATGTGAAAAGTCATTGAAAAGGCTAATGGCATGTTGGCCTTTATTTCAGCGAGGTTGAACTTCAGAAGTGATGAATTGGTCAGATCCCCTGTGGAGTTTTGCATTCAATTTTGGGAATTGCATCTCCAGAAAAGGTACATTGGACTTAAATTAACAGCACAGATATCAACAGTATGCTGCCAGAATTTAACGGATTCAATTATGCAGATAGATGACATAAACATCAAATTTGAGTTCCTGTCACCTCAGCAGATTGAGGGATGATTTTACTAATGTTTAAAATGTGGAAGGAATGCACCGTGGAAACTGTTCTCATGAGGAACTCCAGTGTAGGTCTCTCAAAAAAAATGACATTTCTTAGAAGTGAAGTCAGAACATGGTTATTCACACACAAAATGGTGGAAATGTGGAATGATCTCCCTAACAAGCTGTGTAAACGTAACATTTCAGCTCAACAGTTTTTGTTAGCTCAGAATATCAGTGAATATGGAGCAAAGGCAGGAGCAATTGAGCTGTAAATCAGTCTCAACTTCATGGAATGGTAGAACAGCCTTAAGTGGTTTTCCCAGTTGCTGTCTCAAGGTGAGGTGCTTACAACCTTAAATTGATATTTATTCTGGAGTTGAGCTAACAATATTGTATCATGTCCATTGCAAAGACTGCGAACATGCTTCTATCATTACTGTAATATTACTTGCCTGCCTCCAGCCAACTGCAGGAACCTTCAACCATGCCTTTGTCACCTCTGGAGTCTTTCTGACTTGTTTCGCATCCTCTACCCTTTTACATTTCACGTCATCCAAAACACACTTGTCTGAGTTCTAAACCACATCAAATCCCACTCACGCATTGCCCCTGTCCTTACTGCCATTTGCACCTTTTTTGATACAGCATTTGTCATGCAAACCAATATAATGTATTCCATAATTAGTAGGAATAAGTGGACAATAAAGGAATAGAATAAGTTTACAAGAAATAGGCTAAGAACTTTTTAAAAAGTCTTTCTTGTGATGTGGCTATTGCAGATGAAGCCAGCATTTGGTGCCCATCAATAAATGCTCTTGGATTGAGTGGCTTGCTGGATCATTTCAGGTAAAAGTCAGCCACATTGTTGTGGGTCTGTTGTAACCGATAGGTCAGAGTGGATAAAGAAGGCAGATTTCCTTCTGTGAAAAGGACATTAGTGAACCAGATGGGTTTCTATGATAATCAATGATAGTTTGTAGCAACCACTACTGAATCAAGTTTTATATTCCAGGTCTGTCAATTGGATTCAAATTCCAGTCGTTCAGAACAATTTGGGTTCCTAGCGCATATGTCTGTGCCTTGGGATTAATACTCCAGTGGTTTAACTACTGTGGAAGAATAATTAAAGTGTCAAGAGCAATTAGATGTAGAAAGTAGCTAAAGCTTAGAATTAAAGGTTGGAATGATGGGAAAATAGGTCAAGTAAGTGATATGCGACAAATTGTTGCATATCTGTAGAAAGCTTAAAATTGCTGATTCAATGTTGACCTATAGCTTAAGGCACGTTCTGCTTAAAGATAACATATCAGCAAGTTGTGAAACCACGACGTATGACATTTCATATGACCTGCCTTAAGGGGATGTGATAAACTATTTGGGCTTATCTGCTTGTAACAACTGTCTCAATCTATAATGCCGTGTATAAGTATTGCCTTGTTTTTGTAGTCATCGGAGACTACGGACTTGACCTTTTGTCAGTGTTGGCTCCCTGTGATATCCCGAATAAAACCTCTTTACCTCTAAGTCTAAAGCTCCGGTGTGTGACTAAATTAATATCTTCCAGAACTACCGTAGCACGGTTTCTCCCATGCAGTGAAACCTATCAGGAATATTAGAAGTGCCAGCTTCAAAGTTGGAAAATAATATTTAAAAAGTTGTGTTGGGAGACAGACCCAGAACAATATGTATCTAGTGGTTGTGATGATATACAGCAAACCATTCACACCATATCTGGAATTCTGTATCGTCCTCTTCTTAGTTCAAAAGTAATGTTCACCCCTTGAGGTTACAGCAAATAGCACAAAGAATGATTCCAGATACAAAATTGATGAGCTGAGTTACAAAATAAAAGGAACTCCAAACTATATTCCCTAGAAAAACCGAGAGAACTGCGGATGCTGCAAATCAGAAACAAAAACGGGAATTGCTGGAAAAGCTCAGCAGGTTTACAGAGTTCAACTCTGATTTCTCCCTACAGATGCTGCCAGACCTGCTAAGCTTTTCCAGCAATTCCTGTTTATGTTCAGTAGAACACTGGTTAATAGAAAACCTGACTGAGTTACAGAAAATATGATATCAGTGAAGTGAATTAGAGAATACTTCCATTAAAATAACTGAAAAGTCAAATTAAATTGACATGTACTGGGATTATTTTACCCAGAGAATGATACACATTTAACATCATAGACAAAGTAGATTGAAAGACATGGTGAGTGCTAAGGTTGCAGGTGAATGAAAAACTAGATGAACCAAACGTACAAGAGCGATCATCATTGATAGGGATGAGAAAGTTATTTGGTGTAAGTTTATAATTTATTTAATTTTGTGTTCACTGATTTGTCCTTTCAGAATTTAATTTTTAAATCATGCTCTTGCTCTGTTATAACAGATGTTTTGAAATAAATTTTCTGTATTTCCTTCCCTTTTCCTAGCAAACAATAAATAGTTTGGTGGAGTTTTTTCAGACTAGCCGAGGACTTGATCTTGAGCAGCTGACTTCAGCCACTTTGCTGAAGTTGGAAGAAATCAAAGAAAAGACTGCTACAGGTAAAAGCCTGAAATTTCCAGAAAATGGAAGCTGAGAAACGAACTTCACAATTTATTCTTTTTATATCTAATAATGGCATTTATTTATTTTGACAGTTTCAGTTTTGTGAAAATAAATGCCTGTGTTCTAACTTAGGTCTGTCGTATGTTATTGAAACACGTAAAACGTTTGATCTCCGAATCAACTTTAAACCATCCTACCTTGTGATTCCACAGACTGGTTTTTATGACGTGAATTCAAACTTGTTGATTGTGGATTTTGGAAGTTTGCAGGTATGACGGTTACTGTCAAAGCTTTGTCTTTATAGAGGATTGTTACCTCCAGCTGAATGTTCAGGAATTTTCAGTTTACTCAAGTTGAATCTTTTAATAGCGTATAAACCTGAAGATGTAACTCCAGCAACGCAGTAGACTTACGACTATGGGCAGAACACAGAATCAGGGGCACTTGATAAAATGAGCAGAAAATAGTCCGTAAAATAGAAAACTGGGTAGTTACTGAATGTTAGACTGACCAATGGGGAAATTAAAAGCAGAAAGTATTGGAGAAACTCAGCAGGTCTGGTACTAACTGGCGAGGGAAACTGAATTCATGTTTCAAGCCCAATACAACCATTCTGTTTCTCTCTCCACAGATGCTGCTGGCCTCATTGAGTTTTCCAATACTTTGTTTTTATTTTAGACCCATTGTATTTTACTTTTATAGGAGGTGGGAAGTTACGATCTATACAGTCCTGAGAGCGCGATTATTTACATTTAGGTGCATGATTTGACATTGAAAATTGGGAGTATAGTACCATAATTGAATTGGAGGATGGGTTAATAGTGAGACAAACTGTGACCAAGTATAGGAAAGCATTAACAGAGGTAGAAAATGAATGCAAATGAATTTCAGTGTTAATAATTGTGAAGAGGTGTATTTTGGGATGTGAAAGAGTGAGGTTAAATTGAGTAGTGGTGTGAAGGTATCAAGGGATAGACTTTCACACATTATTGAGAGTAGCTGTGCAGTTAAAGAAGCCATTAGAAACAAAGCCCTCGTTTCATTTATTCTAAGACAAAAGTGATGTTAAATTAATAAAGCCTTGATTAGACAATTGAAAATTGAGACAGAAGCGAAAGTTTTAAAACATTTGTTGACAGAACTTAGGAGTATAACTATCAGGAAGCACTGAATGGCCTGAATCTCTGTCTGGCAAGGAGGAGTTTAAGAAGTGAGAAATTCTGAAATTACAAAGGGGTTCTATAGGATAGACCCAGGAAGATGTTTCTACTCCAGATCGAGGAAGCACAATATCAGAAAGTCTCCAATAAATCCAATGAAGAATTCAGAAAAAAAGAACTTATTTACAATTCATTCTATCAAATTTATGGTACAGAAATGTCTCTTTTGGCCCTGATCATCCATATTAGTGTTTAATTTTCCTAATGTTCGTTCACCGGAGGAATGCCTAAATTAATTGTTCATCCTTAATTGCCCTTAAAGGTGATTGTGAGCTATCTTAAATTGTTGCAATACACGTGGTCAATGTAGTGCCACGTTGCCATTAGATGGGAGCTCCAATTTGGGATGGAGCGTGACCTGAATACACAAATGGTGGCATTCCCATGCATGTTGTTGTTCTTGCTCTACTGGCTAATTGAGGTGAGAGGTTTGGGAGATGCTATTAGAGAATGCTGGTCATAGAACCATACAGCATAGAAACAGACCCTTCGCTCCAACCAGCCCACGCCAACAGTGTTTCCAAACTAGTCCCACCTGCCTGTGCTTGGCCCATATCCCTCCAAATCCTTTTCCTATTCATGAACTTATCCAAATGTCTTTTAAATGTTGTAACCGTACCCGCATCCACCAGGGCGGCATGGTAGATCAGTGGTTAGCACTGCTGCCTCACAGTACCAGAGACCTGGGTTTGATGCTCCGATTGGGCGACTGTCTGTGTGGAGTTTGCACATCTCTCCCTATGTCTGCGTGGGTTTCCTCCCACAATCCAAAGATGTGCAGGTTAGGTGGATTGACCATGCTTAAATGCCCATAGTCTTCAGGGGTGTGCAGGCTAGGTGGATTAGCCATGGGATATGCAGGGTTTCAGGGATAGGCTGGAGGGGTGGGTCTGGATGGGAGTTTGTGTGGACTCGGTGGGCCAAATGGCCTGCTTCCACACTGTAAGGATTCTATTCTATTTTATTTTCTCTGGCTGCCCATTCCACAAATGAACCACTGTCGGTGTAAGCAAAAAAGAAAAGTTGCACTTCATGTCTTTTTTTTAAATCTCTCTCCTCTCACATTAAAAATATGCCCCCTAGTTTTGAACTCCCCCACCCTAGGGAAATGACCCTTGTCATTCACGTTATATAGGTGAGTTGATTGACTCCATCTTGAAGATGATATATACAGCAGCGACAGGACACTGCTCGTGGAGTAGGTGAATGTTTAAGATGTTTTGGGGGTGACAAGCTTTGTGCTGGACTGTTGAGTGCTGTCAGATCTGTAGATATCCAGGCAAGTGTAGAGTATTCCATCACCTTCCTAACTCGTGCCTTACCAAAATTTAACAAGCTTTGGGGAGTTCCCATGTGAATGGTTTCCGGATCAGTTCGGGATCATACACCTGTTTGGGCATTCCCTATTTGGGCATCTCTCAATCCCCGTATCCCATCCATCTCGGGTCGTGAGAGATTTACCATAGCCTCAATATTTGGTCTATCTGATTCTTGGAAATCCAAGATCCTTTTATGGTAGCGTTGATGCTCTCGGACTTGGAAATGGTGCCTATAAGTGGTTCGAGCTGCTTATCTGTGCAGAAGTAGGGGCAAAACCTTTGCTGGATAATGTACAAGTTTAGTGTTGGGTCTGGAACCATGATTCTTATCATGTTATGCTCATGTAACAGTTCCATAAAAATGAGTGGTGTGCTCAGCCATTTCAGCTAAGAATCAACCATACTGCTCCCATGTAGGCTAAACTGGATGAGGATGACTGATTTTCTTCTCTGAAGAGAATAAGTCAATGAGGAGGGATTTTATCACAATTCCACAGTGACATGATTATCATAATACCATGAAACCTAATGGTTGCAGGTTTTTGATTCCAGATAGTTAGTGAGCTGAATTCAAATTTCTCCATGGTGAGAGTTGAACTTGAGTGTTTGGATCACTTGTCCCTTCCTCTCAATTCAGGCTGATAACCTGTAACTAGTGAAATGCTACGGGGATCAATGCTAGGGCAACAATTATTTACAAGCTATTTTAATGACCTGGATTAGAAAAATGAATGATCTTTTAACCAAGTTAGCAGATAATAAAAGAATAGGTGGGAAGCTGAGTGGTGCGGATGACAGAGTCTCAAAGGGAATATTGCAAGGAACCAAAAACATGGCAAATAGAAAGTAACATGGGAAAGTGTGCACTTTGGCTGAAAATTATTTAAATGGAGAAAGACTGCAGAAAGCTACAGCAGAAGAGACTTGGGTGTTCTCGTGTATAAATCACAACAAGTTAGCATATATGTTCAGGTAATTGGAGAAGGTTAATAGAATGTTGGCCTTTATTTTGAAGGGAATGTTATGTATAAAAGTAGGGAACAAAACAACCTGCTGGAGAAGCTCAGCAGGTCTGGCAGTTTGTTTTTGTTTTAGATCTCCAGCATCCATAGTGCTTTGTTTTATAAAAGTAGTGAGGTTGTGCTGAAACTATAGAAGGCACTGGTCAGACCACAATTGGAATACAATGTACGATTTTGAGCACCTTTATCGAGGGAAAGATCTACTGGAGTTGGAGTCAGCCCAGAGAAGGTTCACTCGTCGATAACGAATAATCCTTATCAGGGGAGGTTGAGTAGGTTGGACCTGTATTCATTGCCTCTCATTCTGCTAAACTCCAATCTTACTGAAACAGAAGATTCTTTGGGGGCTTGACAGGGTAGATGCAGAAGGGTGGTTACCCCTTGGAGAGTCTAGGACCAGAGGACACAATCTCCGAATGAGGGGTTGCACATACAGGATAGAAATGAAGAGGAAGATCTTCCCTTAGACGGTAGTGACACTGGAATTCTTCACCATAGTGAGCTGTTGAGACTGGGTCATCAAGTATATTCAAGGCTGAGATAGACCGATTTTAAATCGGTAAGAGTATCGAGAGGCATGTGGCAAAAGGTAGGAACATGGAGTTGAAGACTATCAAATCAGCCATGATGTCACTGAATGGTGGAGCAGACTTGATTGGCTGAATGGCCTCCTTCTGGTCCTAAGTTGTATGGTCTTGTGATTATGAATCCGGTAACTTAGCAGCGCTGCTCACGCCTACTATCTTCTTTTAACTTGACCAGTTTAACAAATCTATTTTAATTCAGACACGTGAGTATGTAGAACTTGTTATCAGGTGGAGTGGTTGAAACAAATTCCTTTCAGGGAAACCTAAATCAGGTAGTGAAGAATAGAGATGTTTTGATTGAGTGAAATGAAATAAGATGGAAGAGAAGACTTGTGTGGGACTTGAAACTGGCATGACTTGTTGAATTGAGTCACAAAATACTGAACCATTTTGTCTGTTTCTGGTTACCACCTGGCATGTAGATTTTACAAAGTGAAGAAATTCAGCTCAACTGTTTGTGCTCCACATAAGCTTTGTTCCATTCCACTGCATCTCATCGCACCAACATATCCTTCCTTTTCTGAAATTTGGTATTAAAAATCTCATCAGTTATGGAAATCATGGATTATCATAAAATCTCCCTCAGCTGTTTATCTGGCTTCCCCTCGAAGACATTCATACTATTCACTGCAACTATACCACATGGTAATAAATTCCACCAAGAACACCTTATAGGTAAAGATGTTTCTCCTGAATCCCCTCTTGGATTTATTAGTTACTCTCTTTTAACATTATGACTCCTTGTTTTGGACTACTTCAAAGGGTAAATGTTAAAATAATGAAAAGTCAGACCTGGCAGATGACACAAGATCCCTGTGGTGCTAACCTCAAGCAGCATCTTTCACTTAGTAGTGTAGAAACTCTGAATAGTTGTGGTAAGACTGAAGACGTCTTTTTTTTAACATCAATATGAGCAGTTCCTTTTCATGATGAAAGTAAGGCACCATAATCTGCATTAATGTGAGAGGTCAACTCGATCAATGAATTGTTGGCCTCTGCTGTGCCACGATGGAAATGACCAAGCAAATATTACGTCCCACCCACAAAAAGAAAGGAAAAATTATCAAAGGCGTCATAAGCTCTCCCACACATTACACTCTGATTCAGAGCAGTTTGGGTAGTGATTTGGAAGCAGGTCTCAGCTGTTTGTAGTACGCAGTATGCGGTATACGGTGATTGAAAAAATGCAGCAACCAGTGTTTGTTTTTTTAATATAAAAAGGTCAATTTCTTAATTTTATTGACAAAATTAGCAGATTTATAATGGCTTCATTAATAAATACTATATTTGAAGTACATTAGAAGTGCCTTAAAACAACTTTTTTCCCCAGATGGAGTTGAGTTTAGTAATCTGTTAATGGAGATGTGTGACCTTCGTTTTGAATCAACAAAAATACAAATTATCTGTTTTATATTCTGTACAGAGCTCAAATCATTACACTGTTTATTGGATTTAGAATATTTTGGATAGTTGGATAGCTACGAATAACAGCTTATCCAAGTCATAAATCTACCTTTCTACAGTTAAACAGCATCAGCCACGATGACCAAAAAGCAACATCACCAAGTTTATCTTTGGAGGAAATTTTGGAACGAGCATACGAAAAATTTGATGTGGAACTCCGAAGTGTTCAGCTTTTGTTCAGCAAGCCAGGTACAGATTTTATCTAAATTCTGAAGAGTCACAGAATTCGAAACATTAACTCTGTTTTCTCTTCACAGATGCAGCCAGATCGGAGTTCTCCAGCAATTTCTTTTTGTCTGTTTCAGGTCTCCAGTACCTCCAGCTCATTGTTTTATTATAGATTCTATCTTGCTCTCTTTAAGTCAGCTTTACCTTTATCCTAACCCCATTTAAGAATCTTTGACCGAGTACTCTCTCAAGCTTTACATGGTTAAGAGACTCTGCTTCAACCAGGCAATTGGGAGATAATATCTGCTGTGGCTCAGTGAATAACACGCTCATTTCTGGATTCTAACTTTGTGTGCTCTAAGTTCCACACCAGAGACCAAAACACATCCTCTAGGCTGACATTGTGTGGTAATGAATGGTGTGATTCCTCTTTGGTAATCTTTGGGGTGAAATGTGAAAGCAAGGCTCTCCCTCGTGAACGTAGATATACCCTGCCATTGTTTTGACGAAGAACAGAATGTTTCATCCCTGTATTATAGCCAGAATTTATTGCTGAATCATAATCACACATTATTATATTGTTGCATTATTGCTGTTTATGGGACCTTTAGTGCATACAAATTGACTGCTGCATTTCCTGTATCTCAGTGCCATAGTCAGTTCATTCATTCACCCTGCTCCCCCCAGGTTTCATTTGTGCAGATTGCAAGAGCCTCAAACCTTTTGGATAATTACAAAGGCTGAGGCTCTTCCACTTGGACCTTCCCAATTCCCTTGGCTTCCTCTTTCTCCTATCCCTGAACTTTGACCAAATCCGACCACCCTATCCTAAGGAGTTGTGACTGGTTCCTACAGCTGAAGTGTCTTGGTAGTTCTCTTCTTCTGTACCTAGGTCTACAGTTAAATGACTGTGCTGATGTTCTATTAGTTACAGCTACCTACTACAGATGTATTTGTTTAGCGCAGCTGCAACACTGGTATCTACCTGACAATGTGAAAAATAGTCCAGTTATGTCCTGCCCACAAAAAGGCAAGACAAATCCAATTTGACTAGTTACTATCTGACTCTGCCTCATTGGTCATTGGCAAAATGATGACGATTTGTTGACAGTGCTGTCAATCGGCACCAACTTAGCAATGGTTTGCACGCTGATGGTCACTTTGGGTTCCACCATAGCCGTTTGGCTCCTGACCTCAATCCAGCCTTGATCCAGACATGGACAGAATAGTTGAATTCTAGATGTGAGGTAATAGTAATTGCCCTTGACATCAGACCACCATTGACTAAGAGTGGCGTCAAGGAGTCTGAATTAATTTAAATTAATGAGTATCAGAAGAAAATCTTTCCAGTCCTAACTAGCAGAAAAAAAGATTGGCCTCCAAAAACGACAACAATCATCTCTAAATGTCTGCAGGAATTCCTCAGGGTAGTATCCTAGAGCCAGCCTTCTTCAGCTGCTTCATCAATGGCCTGCCTTTGTTCATAAGGTCAGAAGTAAGGATGTACCCTGATAATTGCATTATATTGTGACTCCCCAAATATAAAGTAGCATCGCGTACTCCCCATTACCCCTGATGCACCAAAAATCTATCTCAACCTTAAATGTACTCCATGATGAGGCTTTTACAGCCCTCTGAGTTAGAGAATTACAGTAATTCACAACTGACTGAGTAAAGAAATTTCCTTGTGTCTCAGTTCTAAAAGATTGACCCCTTTATCCTGAACCTGTGGTCCTATGTCTAGATTCTACAGCCAGGGTGAACAACCTCTCACTTTTTACCCTATCCAGCCCTTCTAGAGTCTTGTATCTCTCCAGTGAGATCACCACTCATTTTTTTTAAACTCCAGAGACCCCCACAGTTTTTTTCAGCCTATCGTCATAGAGCTATCCTCATATCTCACAGGCAGACTTAGTGAGCCTTCGCTGACCAGAAGGTGTAGAAGCCGGCCATTTCACTTGTATCCGCTGTGCCATTCAGTGATACCGTGGCTGATGTGATGATTCCTGACTCTGCTATGTTTCCCCCATAATCCTTGATTCCCTTACTGATTAAAAATGCATTCAACTTTGAATATACTTAATAATCCAGCCTTGATAGCCCTGTGCAGTAAAGAATTTCACCGGTTCACTCTCCTTAGAAATTTCGCCTCATTGCTGTCTTAAATGAGTGACCCCTAACTCTGGGATGATGCCATTTAGTCATAGACACTTCCAGAAGGGAAAACATCCTGTCTGCATCTACCCTGTCAAACCTCTAAAAATCGTACATGTTTCAATATAGTCTATTCTCATTCTTCTCAATTCAATGAGTTCAATGCAGGTATATCCTTTCTTAATATGGGGACCAAACTGTGTGCACTGTACCAGCTGTGATCTCATCGAAGTTTTCTATAATTGCAGCACTACGTTGTTGTTCTTTTACTCCGGTCCCCTTGCAATAAAGGGCAACATACATTTTACTTTCTTTCTGTGAGTTAATTTTCTATGTTGCTTGTATGAGTGCACCAAAGTCTTTATGAACATCAGGAGTTAGAAGCTTAATGCTTTTTGAAAAATGGAACAAAAACAAAGTGCTGGGAAAGCTCAGCAGGTCTGGCAACGTCTGTCAAGGAGAAAACAGAGTTAACGTTTCGGGTCCGGTGGCCCTTCCTCAG